CCGCCAGAGCTCCACGTGACTGTACTCTGCCGGTCACGGGGTCTGGCCGAGTGTCAGCCCCCACGCGACCCTCTCGTTCCTCGCGCCGTAGCGTGTAGGTGATTTAGCGAGGTCAAGCGACAGGGGATCAATAGTGCAGCGACCGTGGCTATCTGCAGGCTGATATGCCAGCCACGGTGGCAGTGGGCTTCAAACGCGTTGCGTAGAAGTTGATCCCTTTGTCTTCGCACAGCCCCTAGTAAAGTAACCAGCTATGTATGAGGCGGTGCCAACGGAGTGGTTGGTGTGGCTGGCATGCTTTTTACTTTACACTACTTCATTCACCAGAAACCGCTCACGGACGGAAAATGCTAAATCGCTGTGCTAAAACTGCTCAAAAATCCTCTCATGAAGGTCTCTAAAAAAACCATGTTAAATAAAGCGAAATGCTGGTGAGTAATGCCAAGGAAAGTTGTTGTTACAGTTCTAACTTCTGACTTACCGTTTTCTACTTTAATTCCATCGCGTGTTCCCCATCCCCATCCTCGTTGTCCGATGTCATTCACGTTCGCCGCCATGCGAGTAGCTGCCTGCGACGGCGATCAACTCGGCTCTGACCACGTCTGCTCGTGTTTGACCGCCTGACTGCTACAGGGGTGGCAAAGTGGTACCTTTTGTCGCCGACCAAATTTCTGGAGGAAAAATTGTCGGCAGCAGCGTAATGCCATACAATATCACGGTAATTAAGTCCATGCTCAATAGCGTCATCAGTGATCAGCCTATCACCAAAAGTCTTTTTCATCACTGCAGTTTTCAATAGCATGCACATAGCCGAAACGATCAATCTTACACTGTCCTTCAACAAACGACAGCATAAGTGCTGCTGCTGGGAAAGCAAACGCATCTGCCCAAGACTAACGACATAGCCCAATCACAGCATGAGTTCTCTTCCAACCTCGAGACTTGCCGGGGCTCATGTTTTAACTCGATCTACGGCTGGACTTACTTTCCTCGACCGCAAAAAGCGGCAAAGGACCTCCACAACCAGGACGGCAGAATGCATGGCAAATTTCGAACCAGTGGCAAGCGTTGCTGGGAATGACGTCATCTATGGGGGCATCCACGAGGTCATGCCCCTTACGAAAATCACGTGTGCGCTTCGAGTCCCATCTCGACCGTCATCAAACTATCCGCTATACCTTCGGCACGCTCCAAGCCTGGTGCGACGTGTTTTGACTGGTGGGCGTCTTTCGCCAAGCCCCAACAAGTAAACTGTATCGAAATTTGTCAATAACTTCACACCAGGCAGCTGCGTTTTTCTGCACAAGCGACTCGCCCTGCCCGGAGGGGGGGAGGGTGGCCCGATACGACCCCCCCCCCCGCCCCTAACGGTTTTCTGAGGAATCATTATAATTTTGCGTTTAATATATCATTTGCCGTTAGCCTTTAATAAAAATGGTTTTGAAAGCATTTTTGTCGCCAAGCTTTGCGTGAATACACACATTTTTTGTCGCCGACCTTATCCACCAAGTCGGCAAGATCTTACCACAACTGGACTGCTCGCCCTGGGCCTGTGCGCATCCTGTTGTGACGCTGTCGCCCTCTGCGCCTGCGCTCCAGTTCGCATTGATGCCTCTGCTCTGGCGGCTGCACGATTTATGCACAATGGATAGCACTGTTTATACGACTGTTGTGTTCTTATATGTGCTCGTTGATATCACATACTCATTCTAATTGTTGAGGGAATTCCGAACCATAAACGATAGCAATCCTCTTACTAGAATAGGTGCGACGATATTAGTCAAGTGCGTCCGTCTCATTCTAGCAAGAGTGGCAACCTGAGATCTGATCTCGTTTTCCGTCGCGGCGTTCCTGCACCTTGTGCTGTGGTTCTGGTGCGTCCTGCTCCAGTCGCGCTTTCGACTCCGTTCTCCCCATCGGTCTCACTCCCGCGTTCCATTGTGATCCTGGTGTGGCCGGTTCAGCAGTGCGTCCCCTGAGCCCGTTCTCCCAGTCTGCGGGCTGCTCCTGCTGTCTGTTGTGCCCCTGGTGCGACCTGGGCACTTCTGAGCCCACTCTTTCGGTCTGAGTGCTGCTCCTGCTGTCTGCGGCGCCTCTGACGTAGCTTGTGCACTTTAGAGCCTGTTCTCCCAGTCTGCGGGCTGCTCCTGCTGTCTGTTGTGCCCCTGGCGGGACCTGGGCACTTCTGGGCCCACTCTTTTTGTCTGAGTGCTGCTCCTGCTGTCTGTTGCGCCTCTGACGTGGCTTGTGCACTTTTGAGCCTGTTCTCCCAGTCTGCGGGCTGCTCCTGCCGTCTGTTGTGCCCCTGGCACGACCTGGCACTTCTGGGCCCACTCTTTTTGTCGAGTGCTGCTCTGTTTCTGTTGCGGCCCCTGACGTGGCTTTGCACTTTTGAGCCTGTTCTCTCCCAGTCTGCGGGCTGCTCCTGCTGTCTGTTGTGCCCCTGCGCGACTTGGGCACTTCTGGGCCCACTCTTTTTGTCTGATGCTGCTCCTGCTGTCTGTTTCTCCCCTGACGTGGCTTGTGCACTTTTGAGCCTGTTCTCCCGTCCTGCGGGCTCTCCTGCTGTCTGTTGTGCCCCCGGCGTGGCTTGTGCACTTCCGATTCCTTTTTCCGTCTCACGCTGGCTCCTGCTGTGCGCTGCGGGGCGCCTGCCACACTCGCACCTGACCGAGATGAAGCCGTAGAAAGTGCCGTTCGCCAGCAACGGCGGTCTCCTGCCGACGCTTCAGAGGCATCGGTGGCACCATCGCCGCATCTCTCAGTACAACTGGGCCAAGCTCTGGAAACACCAAACGGCCACATGATCATGCGTATGTACACGGTCCAGCCTCTCGCCGGACATTTTGCGCTCGTATTCCGATTTCAGTTTGCTGTAGCCACACGTATGAGAATTACTTAACTCATGCATCGCGTTGCGCGAAGATCCTAATATTTCGCCTGGCCTTTCGATAACGCTTAGTGGTCAATAGACTGGATTCTGAAAAAAACGACCCAGCTCATGAATTGATGCTTGAACACTATTAACACGTGTACATCTCTACCTTTAAAATTCTTATTTCTCTACCCACTATAGAATTACTTAACTCATCCATCGACGTTGCGCGAAGATCCTAATATTTCGCCTGGCCTTTCGATGAACGCTTAGTCAGATAGACTGGATTCTGAAAAAACGACCCAGGCTCATGAATTGATGCTTGAACACTATAAACACTTGTACATCTCTACCTTTAAATATTCTTATTTCTCCTACCCGGATCCCCTACGCAATTGGGAGAGCTTACGCCACCCTGCACTCGATAGGAGACGACGAAATCCAGAGCAAGTGCTACGGCGAGCTGGGGTGTGTCGACTACACGGACCAGTGGTACCACTCGCTGCACCGACCGGTGAACTTCTTCCCGCTGGAGCGCCACCTGATCGCCGTCAAGTTCTGGGTCCACACTAGGTCAAAACCTCGCAGCAACCTGACCCTGCAGGTGGACGACCCCGGCTCGGTCACCAGGGCTGGCATGGACGCCCAGAAGGACACCAAGTTCATCATCCACGGTTTCCTGGACACGGGCACAGACGACTGGGTGCAGGTACTGGTGCTCGGGTGCCTGGCTGGGGCTGTCAGCCTGGACATGGCTGGCTACAGAAGGCGGTAAGACGGTTGTGTCACATGGTCTGTGGATAAAAGACTGACCGCAGAAGCTGTTCGCGACGCAGTTAGATGCGAACACTGATGGTGCCATATTTGTATTCCCGGGCACCACTACTGAAGGGCAACTGAAATCACTACCCGGGCTGAACATAGTTCAGAACCCATTCAGGTCTGACGCGACGCCGACCTGACAGACGCAGGCCCGGCTCAGCGCGGTCGGAACTGGAATATCAAGTTCGCTGCAACCAGGTGGTGCTCGCCGCCGAGCCTGTCTGACCGTGGGCTTGTGCCCTGCGACGCCGCAGGAGATGGTGCAGCGTCTGCTGGACGCCGGCGACATGAACGTTATCGCCGTGGACTGGCGGTTCGGCGCGCTGCCCATGTACCAGCAGGCCATGGCCAACACGCAGCTGGTGGCCATGGAGACAGCGCACCTTATCCGCTGGCTGCAGGTATGCCGGTGAGGGGCTGCTCTGTGTGCACAGCGCGAACGGCTCAGACGCAGTGTGAAGGATGATTCGCAGGCGTGAAACTTTCTCTTTCGAAGTCGGGTGCCGCTGTCGCTGTATGGATACGCACCTCCTCTATAATGCTTGGGCATATGATTCAGCATTGCTTGACTCATCAACTATGTCTGCGTGGCTTATAATATGTACCTGTGGCTTATAATAGCCACATCTTCGACGAAACCGTGCATGAAGCCACATCTCCTCCCATTTTCACATTGCCTGTTGGTGTGAATTTTATGTCGAGCCTGTGCCTTTCGCAACCTGCCCTCTCTCAAGACTTTTACGTCTGTGCTCTGAGTGTCATCACGTTATTGCGACCTTACGGAAGCTCACATGCTCTAAGCCGTTGGCACAGGTTGCACTGGTCTTGCCGGTGCCACCGCCGAATTAGGTGTACGTGTGGGCCGACCGGTGGCGGTCCGAGCAGCACTCGCTGATTATAGCGAGCGGACGGATGCGCTCATGCCCTGCCCACTGGTCACGTGACCCACACGGGGACGTGGTGTTGGGGTGACCACTAGAGCCGAGTGAACTTATCTTTTCTGTGTTCTGTGCGTGCTCTGCTGAGCGGGAACAACTTCCCCACTTTCAAAACTTCAATGCTTCAATTTGCCCTAAAGTCCAGAGGCCGAAAGCGCCTGAGCAGGCCTCGCAGTGCCCAGCGGGCGACGAACATCGCCCGACCTCACGTGGCCGCCACCGCCCGTCCGCAGAGCAGCCACGGCCTGAACGTGTCGCGCGTGCATATCATCGGGCACAGTCTGGGCGCGCAGACGGCTGGGTACGTGGGCGCCGGCGTGCCAGGTCTGGGCCGCGTCACCGGGCTGGATCCAGCCGAGCCCGGCTTCCAGCACATGTCGCCGGTGGTCCGACTCGACCCCGGTGACGCCCGCTTCGTTGACGTCATCCACTCGGACGCGCGCAGCTTCATCACGTCAGGTGGGTGAGTCGGCCTCGGGTGTCAGCACCTCGCTCTCTTACTTACTCGCTCTCGTCGGACGCCTGGTCGGCCGTCTCGTCCAGTGTGTCGCCTGATTCCATCACCTTGCCTCTGACAATGGCCTGACCTCACAACACCTTGTCCCTCTCTAGCCGCCCCGTCCCTCTCTTGAACGCCCTCGTCTATCCCCTGATCTCGCGGCACCTCGAATCTCCCTCCTCTTTTCACAACTCGTTCCGTCTGTTCCCTTGTCCCCCACCTCGTTCTCGCTTTTCTCCTGATCTCTTCATATCTTGCTCCCGTCTATTCCCTGATCTCATCACATCTCGTTTCACTCCATCCCCTGATCTCATCACATCTCTTTTCACTTTATCCCCTGATCTTATCACTCCTCGCTCCCGTCTATTCCCTGATCTCATCACACCCCGTTTCCCCCTATCCCCTGATGTCATCACACCTCATCCCCGTCTGTCGGGTGATCCCACCATCTCGCCTCAGTCTGTCGAGTGACTCCATCACACCTGGCCGCCCTCCGGCCCCGCCGGCAGGCCTGGGCATGCTGCAGCCGTGCGGCCACCTCGACTTCTACCCGAACGGCGGCCGGGAGCAGCCCGGCTGCGGCTCCTACTCGGACACCATCAGCGTCTTCATGGAGAGCAGCGTGGACGACTTCGAGGCCGAGCTGTTCGCCTGCCGCCACATGCGCGCCGTGCGCTTCTTCACGGACAGCATCGGGGAGGGCACCTCCTGCTCCTTCATTGGGCACGAGTGCGGCAGCTACGAGCAGTTCCTGGAGGTGAGGTGCAGGTGACTCACCTGCTCGGTGCAAGAG